CGTGTGCCCCCCCAATTTTGGGGGGGGGATTGCCTCTCCACCCTGATCAGGGCCTCCCTCTTTCTTGCCAGATCCTCTCTCATCTCCTGCCAAGTCCATCCTCTCTGCTCCTCCTCGGCACACTGCTTGGTCCAGGTCTGGTGGGATCTTCTGTCACGTTCGTTTATAGACGGGACGGACCAAGGCGCAGCGTGATATGCATACATGTTTATTTATATTGAATAAACACCACGACAAAACAACAAATGAAACGAAATGTGAAGTCCAAGGTAGACAAACAACATACCTCACACGGAACAAGATCCCACAACTTACTAGTGCCAAAAGGCTGCCTAAGTATGGTCCCCAATCAGAGACAACGAGCGACAGCTGCCTCCGATTGGGAACCACACCGGCCAACATAGAAATAGACATACTAGAACATCAACATAGAAATATACAACATAGAACATACACACCCTGACTCAACAGAGACACAGAGAGAGAGAGAGAGAGAGAGAGAGAGACACAGAGAGAGAGAGAGAGAGAGAGAGAGAGAGAGAGAGAGGAAAACACCAGATATAACAGACTGACCCTAGTCCCCCGACGATACCCCCAGACAGGGCCAACCAGGCAGGATATAACCCCACCCACTTTGCCAAAGAACAGACCCCACACCACTAGAGGGATATCAACAAAACACCAACTTACTACCCTGAGACAAGGCAGAGTATAGCCCACAAAGATTTCCTCCACCGCACGAGCCCGAGTGATGCACCCCTCCTAGGGACGGCATGGAAGACCACTAGTAAGCCAGTGACTCAGCCCCCGTAATAGGGTCAGAGGCAGAGAATCCAAGTGGAGAGAGGGGAGCCGGCCAGGCAGAGACGGCAAGGGCGGTTCGTCGCTCCAGTGCCTTGCCGTTCACCTTCGCACCCCTGGGACTCAATCATAGGACCTACTGAAGAGATGAGTCTTCAGTAAAGACTTAAAGGTCGAGACCGTCTGCGTCTCTCACATGGATAGGCAGACCATTCCATCAAAATTGAGCTCTATAGGAGAAAGCCCTGCCTCCAGCTGTTTGCTTAGAAATTCTAGGGACAATAAGGATGCCTGCGTCTTGTGACCGTAGCGTACGTGTAGGTATGTACGGCAGGACCAAATCAAACTAGAGACAAAAAAAATCCACTACTTAAAGGGACACCTACTCATTCAAGGGTTTTTCTTTATTTTTACCATTTTCTACATTGTAGAATAACTATTAATATGATGTTTGCTATGGTTGCAACTTAGAGACCTCCTCCTCCTGGCTGTCTGTAGAGGACAGGTTAGAGACCTCCTCCTCCTGGCTGTCTGTATAGGACAGGTTAGAGACCTCCTCCTCCTGGCTGTCTGTAGAGGACAGGTTAGAGACCTCCTCCTCCTGGCTGTCTGTAGAGGACAGGTTAGAGACCTCCTCCTCCTGGCTGTCTGTAGAGGACAGGTTAGAGACCTCCTCCTCCTGGCTGTCTGTATAGGACAGGTTAGAGACCTCCTCCTCCTGGCTGTCTGTAGAGGACAGGTTAGAGACCCTCCTCCTCCTGGCTGTCTGTAGAGGACAGGTTAGAGACCTCCTCCTCCTGGCTGTCTGTAGAGGACAGGTTAGAGACCTCCTCCTCCTGGCTGTCTGTAGAGGACAGGTTAGAGACCTCCTCCTCCTGGCTGTCTGTAGAGGACAGGGTTAGAGACCTCCTCCTCCTGGCTGTCTGTAAGGACAGGTTAGAGACCTCCTCCTCCTGGCTGTCTGTAGAGGACAGGTTAGAGACCTCCTCCTGGCTGTCTGTAGAGGACAGGTTAGAGACCTCCTCCTCCTGGCTGTCTGTAGAGGACAGGTTAGAGACCTCCTCCTCCTGGCTGTCTGTAGAGGACAGGTTAGAGACCTCCTCCTCCTGGCTGTCTGTAGAGGACAGGTTAGAGACCTCCTCCTCCTGGCTGTCTGCATAGGACAGGTTAGAGACCTCCTCCTCCTGGCTGTCTGTAGAGGACAGGTTAGAGACCTCCTCCTCCTGGCTGTCTGTCTGCCTGTCTTCCTGCACCCCTCCCTTACTCTCTCTTTTTTTCCTCTGTCTCTACCCCCCCTTTCTCTCTGCCCCCCCTCTCTTTTTAACCCCCCCCCCCCCCCCCCCCCCCCCCCCCACCCTCTCCATCACCATCCCTGTCTCTCTCCTTCCCTTCTTCTTGAACACCAAAGCTCTGACAGAGGCTCTGTGCCAACTGCTCTGGCATTTTTAGAATTAGGAGAACTTTTGGGAACAGCACAATTATTGTTACATCACAATTAATAATTCAATCAACCCCACTGGCAGACTCACAGGCATTAGCCAGAACCTAGATCCGTTTTTGCTGTCTTGCCAATGCCTTGGCACTCATTGTCACGCAAGACAGCACAAACAGATCCGGGATCAGGCTAGACTCACGTATCTATGAGGCGTTACTGTACAATACATGGTATACATCCTACAAATGAGGAAAATAACTTCAGACAAGTGGCGCTGTATATAGCTGACTCTCACAGGAAATAAGTACCAAGGAAATTAACCCCTTCATCATCATCAGTTTGACCTATGACTTTTACCCCCTGACCTTTGTGGCATGTATGTATGTGTCACGATCGTCGAACACAGTGGACCAATGCGCAGCGTGATTTGCGAACATACTTATTTTATTAGAGTACCGCACGAACAAAACAACAAAACGATACGTGACGTCCTTGGTAACAGACACTAACCATACACGGAACAAGATCCCACAAAACACTGTGGAAAACAGGCTGCCTAAGTATGGTCCTCAATCAGAGACAACAAGCAACAGCTGACACTCGTTGCCTCTGATTGAGAACCACCCCGGCCAACACAGAAACACATGAGCTAGATAAAGCACCTAGAACACAAACACATAGAAACTACACACCCTGGCTCAACATAACAGAGTCCCAAAGCCAGGGCGTGACAGTATGTGTGTGTGTGTGTATGTGTGTGTATGTGTGTGTGTCTTTGGATCGGCTGGTGTTATTTGTTTTTTATTCAAGCAATTATGTTCGTAGGATGTTTTTGGGAGAGCAGATAAAGAGGGGGGGTGGAGGGAGGGAGGAAGGCAAGGGGAGAGAAGGATTGGGAGGCAGTGCAAAGGACAATTTCAAGCCATTATATTATATCAGATTGATTCTGTAAGATAATACCTAGGACAGCAAACAGAAAAGCAGAGGATTTCTTGGAATTCTTAGAACTGGGGCCATATGTATCAAGGATATCAGAGCAGGAGTGCTTATTTAGGATCATTTTTGCCTTTGAGATCAAAATGAATAAGTTTACATATACAGGTGGGACCTGATCCTAGATCAGCACTCCTACTATGAGACGATTGATACTAATGCAAAAATGATGTCACATTAAAGGGATACTTCGGGATTAGGGCAATGAAAAATAACAGAGAGGCACATCCAAAAAAGTCAATCCACTACTTAAAGGGATACTTCAGGATTTTGGCAATGAAGCCCTTTATCTACTTCCCCAGAGTCCGTTGAACTCATGGATAGAGAGATTGTAGTTTGAAGGAAGTTCATACTGGGTAGTACTGTTGGACATAGAGAAACTACCAGAGAAAACTGTGCAAGGGAACACAGGGAAGTGAGGGCATGAATACACAGGTGAAGAGGTAGACACAGGTGACATCAATAAGATAATGATTCGTCCAGACTGTGAGTGAGGAGATGCCTAAGGTTGTCGGAGGATGACACCTAGTGGGTCGCTCCGGAACTGCGACCCCCCTCCTGTAACAGCACTGTAAAGGGATAGTTCATGCAAAATGCATTTATAATAATCTAAAAACCATTCAAAAGCATTTAGAATTGCTTATTCATTTAAGTTATTAAGTGTTACCAACATATTTGGGATGTAACAGTATGGATGTGTTATGAAATCTAAATCTAATGGAAACCATAGTCCTGTAACTTCACCCTAAACTGACCAGTTTGATAGCAGTTTTGTGGGCCTTGTATGCTGTCTAGAAAACCTAGTGAGGGAGGTCTATGACAGAAAGTCACCTACAGTCGTATAGGGTCAAAGGTTAGGGGTCAGCGTATGAATTCAGTACAAGATGCCATCAGCATCGACCATAAGCATCTGCCGGGGTAAGTTGGGCGATAGCTAGCGTGAAGGTCTGCTCATTACTTCATTAAGGCTAGCCT